ACTAATGCTCTATAGAGGGTCCTATAGCTTAACAGAGAACCAGCACAACAGAAATCTTGCATTGAGAAATTTTATATACAGTACTGTATTGTACAATAGTTACGTTGGAAAAATGATGACTGGCATGCATAAAACATCATGGTTACAGGTGGAACCTTGCAATTTGACCATCCCAAAATTTGATGGTCAGATTTGCAGGGAGGTTGACTTGCAATTCAACCCTTGCCCCACAATTCCAACTGCTTTGGCCATTTTTTGCATTTTTGCATTAACGAAGTGTCTTGCAATTTGGCCACTTTGCAATTTGACCCTAGTTTGGCAATGGATTATGGTCAAATTGCAAGGTACCACCTGTATATTGATTGGATTTCTGCAAGTTTAGAGTTGAATTTTTCATCAGAGGCAAAAATTATATCAACAAGAAGGGAAAGGGAAAGTTTTATCTTTACTAGCTGAAAAAGTTTTGAATTTCAGGAAGTAGAGAGCACAAAATGTCAGAATTACTTGAATATTTTACTCGTCAATTATAACTTCACAAGTGTATGCTAACATCTTTCACAGGTTTTGAAGGTTTACTGAAGTATAAGGATTTTTGGTGAATTACAGTTTATTTTTTGCGTGCTCCCTGGAAGACTTGAATGTTTTTAAAAATTGTATTTCACAAAAAAGGGAAAGCAAGCTTGAATTAATGAATATTTCACATAAAAAAAGCGCCCCTATATAGCAGAAGCATAATAGGTTCCCTGACTTTCCAAAGCCGTTCTGTTTGAAAAAAAAATTCTTAACTCACCTGCTGAAATGTTTCCAAGTCACCAGTTGACTTCGTGGATCGCAAAACCGGGTGATTGCCGAGGGGCGACATCGGTGGCGTCAAAAATTGAGCCGACCCAGAAGACACGTGTGGGAGACAACACAGACTCTTGGACTGATTCTTCGGCATATTTTGGTGCATGCAATATTTTAAAAAATATTTCCAATATGCCGAAATGATCAGCAAGGTCTCTGCTGAGCAAATGGTTCCATGAGATATATACAGTATTTGTTTCCCCATAAAAGGGTTCAAGTTCCAAAAACGATACCCGGTTTTGAATGTACAGTACAGTATTTCGATTCCGAGTGAGCACACGCAAGTGAAGTAATTTCTTTATATTTTCTCGAAGAAAATGTGAAGAAACTTGCTGGGAAAAATAATAATTTTCCCCAACCCATGAAAAAAAATTGATCAACTTATTTGTCTCTTTTCTTGATCCACTGAGTAACTTCAATTACTTTGTCTATATACATCTTCCCCAAATATTCCACAAAACAATATACAGTGGGGTCTTGGCTTACAAACTTAATTTGTTCCTCAACAAAGTTTGTTAGGCAAAAAGTTTGTAAGCCAAATCACATTTTCCCTTAAGAAAGTACTGTATAGGAATAATTGTAATTGGTTCCAGGAAATTGAAAATGTCCATGGAATTCAAGAAAATGCATCCTAAAAAATATTTTGAGACCTAAACTTCATTAAACGTTCCCANAAAATCCCAATTTTGTGTCATCATTTGCCCAGGCAAATTTTGTGGCACTAACTAAGCAAGGGTGGCAATAATTTGGGGACATTGTATGAACAGAAAATTCACCAGAAGGCTTCTAATATAGATGAACTGTTTTTATTGCATTTGAATTTATTTTATTTTGAAGTACAGAATACATCAGATTTTTCACACACTGGGCCAAGCAAAAGAGTGGAACTGTTTCTTGCAGTTTTGTATAAATCTTTCAATAAAACATCACAATTCCAAGATCATGATTTGTGATTTTAAATTTTTTTTAGAGATACTTCATGTTTTGATATGTTCTTTGCCATGGAGGACAATTCAAATTAAGCCACTCAATTGCATGTAAATTCAGAAATATAATTTCTTTACTTATCCTGATCATGTGGGCTTGTGATTCTCAGTAATAGCCTGATAATATCCCTAGAACTATGCCTTAATTTCTCTGATTTTGGCCCATTTTTCATGAAGGATAAACGACAGGAATATTTTTGTGGCACTAAGTGACTTGGCACTAAATTGGGGTTTCCCTTAAAAACACAATGGATGGAACTTTGTTCCAGGGAAATTTGTGGCACCAAGTGACTTGGCACTAAATTGAGGGTTGATCTTATACAGTATTTATTTGCTCACAAATCTATCAGGTTTTTTTAATGTAAAAAAGGAAAAAGGAGAATTTGGATTTATTCCTGAATGTTATGACCTCAAATGTCTTTCATTTACTCTCACCAAGAGCTTCTTACATATAACCATTTCTTTTTACTTTTCAACGTCTAATCTGCAAAATCCAAAACTGCGTTTGTCTCCTCTTATTTTGTCCTGGCTGAGACTTGTGATAGTTCCTAAATTTTGTTATTTTGTAATCCATCTGAGTGAATAATTTTTGTTTTGCATAGGAAAACATGTTTTAGTGTCAATAAATGCCGCCAAAATGTTATTAATTTCGAGATGATTTTTTTCATCTGTGTTTTTTACTATACCGTATATATTCGCTGCTGTACTGTATTATAGATGCCTAGGGTCCATTTGTTTCAGTGAACCCATTTTTTTGCATTAATAATGACTGGTGATTTCAATATTTTATAATGGGTGTATTCAATAAAAAAAATTCCACAGTTATAGGAATGATCCAAGAACTAATGCTCTATAGAGGGTCCTATAGCTTAACAGAGAACCAGCACAACAGAAATCTTGCATTGAGAAATTTTATATACAGTACTGTATTGTACAATAGTTACGTTGGAAAAATGATGACTGGCATGCATAAAACATCATGGTTACAGGTGGAACCTTGCAATTTGACCATCCCAAAATTTGATGGTCAGATTTGCAGGGAGGTTGACTTGCAATTCAACCCTTGCCCCACAATTCCAACTGCTTTGGCCATTTTTTGCATTTTTGCATTAACTAAGTGTCTTGCAATTTGACCCTAGTTTGGCAATGGATTATGGTCAAATTGCAAGGTACCACCTGTATATTGATTGGATTTCTGCAAGTTTAGAGTTGAATTTTTCATCAGAGGCAAACATTATATCAACAAGAAGGGAAATGGAAAGTTTTGTCTTTACTAGCTGAAAACGTTTTGAATTTCAGGAAGTATAGAGAGCACAAAATGTCAGAATTACTTGAATATTTTACTTGTCAATTATAACTTCACAAGTGTATGCTAACATCTTTCACAGGTTTTGAAGGTTTACTGAAGTATAATGATTTTTGGTGAATTACAGTTTATTTTTTGCGTGCTGCCTGGAAGATTTGAATGTTTTTAAAAATTGTATTTCACAAAAAAAAGGGAAAGCAAGTTTGGAATAATGTATATTTCACATAAAAAAAAGTGCCCCTATATAGCAGAAGCATAATAGGTTCCCTGACTTTCCAAAGCCGTTCTGTTTGAAAAAAAAAATCTTAACTCACCTGCTGAAATGTTTCCAAGTCACCAGTTGACTTCGTGGATCGCAAAACCGGGTGATTGCCGAGGGGCGACATCGGTGGCGTCAAAAATTGAGCCGACCCAGAAGACACGTGTGGGAGGCAACACAGACTCTTGGACTGATTCTTCGGCATATTTTCGTGCATGCAATATTTTTAAAAATATTTCCAATATGTCGAAATGATCAGCAAGGTCTCTGCTGAGCAAATGGTTCCATGAGATGTATATATATATATATATATATTTTTTTTTTCCCCCATAAAAGGGTTTGAGTTCCAAAAACGATACCCGGTTTTGAATGTACAGCACAGTATTTCGATTCCGAGTCAGCACACGCAAGTGAATTACTGTAATTTGTGAGAAAAAAAATGTGAAGAAACTTGCTGGGAAAATAATAATATCCCCCAACCCATGAAAAAAAAATTGATCAACTTATTTGTCTCTTTTCTTGATCCACTGAGTAACTTCAATTACTTTGTCTATATACATCTTCCCCAAATATTCCACAAAACAATATACAGTGGGGTCTTGGCTTACAAACTTAATTTGTTCCTCAACAAAGTTTGTTAGGCAAAAAGTTTGTAAGCCAAATCACATTTTCCCTTAAGAAAGTACTGTATAGGAATAATTGTAATTGGTTCCAGGAAATTGAAAATGTCCATGGAATTCAAGAAAATGCATCCTAAAAAATATTTTGAGACCTAAACTTCATTAAACGTTCCCAAGACCAGGTACTGTACAAGAAACTTACTGCAGTAAAACAATCCATAGAGGTGACATTTTTCAAGTGAGTTTCTCCAGAGGCTTCTCTTTGAAATTTTTAAATGAAAAACCACAAACATATCACAGGACTTGGGATGAAAAATTTTAATGCTAAAAAGCTGTTGAATTTTCACCCAAACAGAACAAATGAAGAGTTGGTGATCAAAAATGTATCACTGAAATTTGAGACATTCTTAGATGAATTAATGAATAAGTTTAAACACAAATCCTTAGATTTTGCTAAAGAATTTTTTTTAGACCTATGAGCTTTTTGAGAACTCACAGGTTGTAAACCAAGTCATGGTTTGTTACCCTGAGCAGCTGAGGCCAAAAAAAAAAAGTTTGAAGCCAAAAACAAAAGTTTGAGGCCAAAAAGAAAAGCTGAAAAATTTGCAAGCCCCAGGGCATTTGTAATAAGCCAAGACCCCACTGTACTTCAACATTCAGCATACTCAATTATGAATCTTCACATTTTCCTCATCTTAATATCAGTCCGCTTTTGTGAAAAATTGAGTAACGTTTTTATAATTCCCAGAAAATGGCAGTTCTTGCCTGGGCAAATAAATTTTGCGAAAATTTCTGCTGCGCGAGTTTTCTCCATAAAATTATGGGGTTAGGTTTTAGTTTAGCTGCCAAAAAGAAAGTCGAGTGGGAAAGACAGAATTTGTTTAAATTACAGTCAAGCAAAAATCTCTTTTTTTTTATAGAAAATGCAAATAAATTCTATAAAATACGGCAATATTTTGTGGGAGCGGGTGTTTACAAAATCAAATTTATCTCTTCGGGAAGTGTCAGATTGCTCTTTTCCGACAGTTACTCCCAATTCTGCTACGCGCACTTTCACATGTGAGCAAAATTGAATTTCACAAAACTTGACTCCACACACCGAACTATTCCAATATATAACCACAGGAAAACACCAGCTGCTTTTCAACCAAGTTTCCCGAACGCAGATTCAAGTCCGAATGACACGAAAAAAAGAAAGAGTAGGTGAGGTTCTCTCTATAGAGACAAAACCCGTTTTCCAAACTTTCAAAATCGGCGAAGAAACCGGTCCAGCTTACACAAACATCCACGCAATATATATCAATCCGGTTCCTGAAATCCTGGTAGTA